TATATATATATATATATATATATAAAATAAATCTTTATGAATTAGTTATCAGAACGTATTTTTAGAAATTATTCGTGGGATTTCTTTATTTTGTTGTTTCCGAATTTGCAGGATTCCGTTTCTGGAATTAGTTCAAACCTTGTGATTCGGAATTCAAATTATATTATTTAAAGGGGGAGATAATTTTTTTATAAATAGGGTAAAAATTATGATGAGGGTTTTATATGTAATTGAAATAAAAAAAAATCACATAATTATGTAATTTAAACTGTTAAAGTAAATATCTATAGCCGAGTTTATATATGTTAACTAAATTGATTAAGGGTCTGTTTGAGGCAGCTTATTTGGTGCGGTGGCGTTTTGAAAATGCATCTGACTTGTTTGGGTAAACGGTGTTTTGGCAGCTTATGTGTTTTCAAAATGCAGAAAACAGTGTTTTCTCTGCGGTGGGAGCTTATTGAGAATGATCTGGTTTTTCCAAAAAAATAAAAATTTGTAATAGCCACCGCACCTAGCTTATCAGCGGATTATTTTTAATCAGCTTATCAGCAAATTATTCAATAAGCTCTAGCTACCCAAACAGACCCTTAAGTGTCAAATGAGAAGCTTAACAAAAAAAGGAAAGGGAAGATTTGCGAACATGCAGCACAATTCCTGTATATTTACATGTATATCCAACGTCTGAACTTTAATTTTTACAAGGATATTTCACACTTTATTTATGCATAAAAAAAGTTGCATTTCATGTATTAGAAATTAAATGGACGTATTTTTACTGATATGGAAGATTTGAATGGTACAAATGTTAAAAAGGTAAAGTTTAGGTATTAAATATGTAACTACATAGAAATTGGTTGTTATGTAGGGCTGTCAAAACGGCTTGTTGTTCGCGAACAGTTCGCGTTGGGCTGGTTAAGAAGCTCGTGTTCAACTCGTTCGCTAACTTAACGAGCCGAACATGAACAACACGCACAAATATTTGTTCGTCGTGTTCGTCTCGAAATACTACTAATCAATTTTATATATATCTATATATATATATATATATATATATATATATATATATTATGATAAAATTTTCAAGTTAACATTTTTTTAATAAAGTGAATGTCTTAATAACATAAATTCAAATTTAATGTGCATAATCAATAAAATTATCATGCCACGTGGGATATATGTTATCAAGTGGCAGGCGTGACAAAGTAGTCAGTTGCATTTTTACTTTGTAACGTGATTTTTTTTGCATTTATATTGCTACACACAATATTATGAACAAGCCTTCTATACGAGAAATAAATCAAAATTGTGATTAAGGAGTGAAGCAATAGTTGTAGAAAAAAATAAATAAATAAATGATAAAACAAATAAAAAATTAAGTAATAGTGTTCATGTTCGGCTCGTTTACACCCTTGATTCTATGTTTAGGACAGCGTTCTTCAAAATTTATACTTTAAAATTGATGAAATTAAGTGCTTGGAATATAATTTTTTTTTGGACACGAAATGATGATCCTTTTTATTGTTTTTTTGTGTTTATTATTTTCATGATTGGCCCTTTCATGACTGGCCTCGTGGCCGTGTCTTTGGAACATCAAAGGGGATGAATAAGTTCAAATTTAGCACAACTAATTAAGAGCCTCTACGGGATCATTTTTTTATTTTTTATATATATTTTTTTAATTTTTAGGCACACATTTGATAGTGTTATGATTTATATGTTTTAAAAAACAAAAAAATAAATAAATAAACCATGTTTGTTAGGACGGTTGAGTGTATGTGCTTTCAAGTATTAAGCTCTGCCGCCAATGGTGTATACGGGGTCTTCCTTGCTCCATCAAGCACGAAATATTGCTATGGGCGTGTGGCAGGTGGCGGATGGGCGGCAACTGTCGGCGGCCATCAACCGGCTATGGTGAGGGCAGATAGCCAACGGGGTCGGCGGAGTGTAGCGGCGGCCAGCGGGCCAGCGCACGACGGGGGGGGCGGCAAGTGGGGGGCGACAGCAACAGGTGGCAGCCAGCATTCTGTGGGACTCGCTTTTTTCGGTGTTATAAAAGCAAACAAAAACTTACTTTTTCTATTTTTGAGTATTTTAAAAACAGAAATGTTCCTCCAAAAAATAAAATATAAAAATAAAACAAAAAAAAGATAAACAAACACTAATTTTTTCTATTTTTTTTATTTTCAAAAATAAAAAATAAAAAATAAAATTTGATCTCAAACAAGGTAAGGTGGGAAGAAGAGAGCATAAGGACAGAAATAGATGTCAAACCACGAGCATCATTCATATTATTTGCAGTAATCAGTATATCATCAACATACCGTAACAGAAAAAATAATAGAATGATCATCAAGGCTCTTCACATAAACACAACAATCATACTCACATTTCTTGTAGCCAATCTGAATCATGTAGGAGTTGAACCGCTTGTACCATTGTCTTAGAGACTGTTTCAACCCATACTGCGATTTATTTAACCTGCAAACCAAATGCTCATGTCTAGGTTGAGTGAACCCTTCTAGCTGCTCCCAAATCACCATGTAAGAAAGCAGTTTTAACATCCATATGTTTCAAATGCAAATCCCAAATGACTACTAATGCAAGCACTGCCCTGATTGAAATATGTCTGACCACAAGAGAAAAGATTTCATCATAATCTATCCCCTTTTGCTGTGAAAATCCCTTTACTACCAGTCGATCCTTGAACTTTTCCCCTTCTTTTTCTAATATTGTTGGTTTCCTTTTATACACCCACTTGTAATCAATAGTCTTCTTTCCCTCAAGAAGCTTAACTAGCTCCCATGTGCAATTTTTTTACAAAGACTCTATCTCCTCAACCATTGCACCCATCAATTTCTCTTCTATCTCCTCAACCATTGCACACATCAATTTCTCTTTCTCCTGTCTAGTGATAGCTCCTTGAAAAGTGGCTCGATCATCGCTGCTGATGAGAAGTGCACAAGAGACCAAGTCTTCATAACCCAATATATTAGGGGACCTTATATTGGTGTGTCTCTGTCTATCTCTGACTAGATTATAATTTTGCAGATCATCTGGATTGAAGTCACCATGTGTTGGATTTGAACCTTCAACTCTCTTAGTTGTTTCTGGATGTTGTTCTAAATCCATATGCACTGCATCTGAACTGGAACTGTTCCATTGCACCTCGATTGCACCTCGTCCATTGCACCTTGTCTGCATCTGAACTGGAACTGTTCCATTGCACCTCGTCTTGATTCTACTGTAACATGAACTATTCATCAAAAACTGCATCTATGCTAATCACCATCTTCTTTGCAATCGGATCTCAAAACTTGTATCATTTCACACCTTTCTTATAGCCCAGAAAGATGCACCTCTTGAACTTTGCATCATGTTTTTATCTCTCATCTCCAGATACATGCACATAAGTATGACAACCAAAAATCCGTAAAAGATCAAAATTAACTGGATTAGCTGTCCATACCTCTTCTGCGACCTTGCCACCCAACGATGCCCGAAGTGATCTATTGATGAGATAATATGTCATATTCACAGCCTCTAACCAGAAACTCTTAGGAAACCCTACATTCAGTCTCAAGCATCTTGCCCTTTCATTTAAAAACCTGTTCATCCTTTCTGCTACACTATTCTGTTGTGGTGTCTTGTGCACTGAAAAATGTCTTTGAATCCCATGTTCCTCACAGAACTTCTAAAACTGCATATTTGTGTACTCTATGTCATTATCAGACTTCAAATACTAGATCTTTCTGCTAGTTTGGTTCTCCACCCCAGCTTTCCACAGCTTGAATTTAGAGAAGACTTCAGATTTCTGCTTCAAGAAATAATGCTTCAAGAAATACACCCACTTCAAGAAATACACCCAAACTTTCCTGGAAAAATCATCAATAAAGGTAACAAAAATTGAGATCCTCCCAATGATGATTCCTTGGTAGGGCCCCATACATCAGAATGCACATAATCAAGAATCCCTTCAGTTTTATGTTTTCTAGTCATAAAACTGACTCTAGTCTGTTTTTCAAGAACACATAACTTACAAAGATCGAGCTTGCAGCTTTTAACACCAAGCAACAGATTTCTTCTAAGCAATTATGTCATCCCACGTTCACTGAGATGACCAGACACATATGTCATAGCTTGTTTCTCTATCCTCATCTGCCTTATGAATAAAACTTTTTATGTGTAGAGTGCCTAAGAAAATCAAATTCTTCTTCAGATCTGGAATATGTTTGACATCACATAATATTCTAAATTTGTCATCATACATCTTAACTCTAACTTCTCCAATACCAATAATTCTGCAGCATCTATTATCACCTAGATAAACTGAGCCAGAATTAGTTGACTTGTATGAAGTAAACCACTCTCTTAGGTGTTATGTGATAAAAACATCCTGAAATAAGAATTCATTCATCCATGAACTGAGTTGATGAAACTGAAAGCATATCACCATCACTGCAATCTGAATTGTCACTCTGCACCACATTTACAGACTTCTATGATCCATCAACTTTCTCCCCAGTTTACTTCTTCAGATTTTGAACAATTTCTCTTCATATGACATGACTCCTTGCAATTGTAGCAATGAATTGTCTTTTTTATCTTTGAACTTGGATCTGAAATTTCATCTTCTAGAACCCTCATTCTCTTTATTCTTTCCATGAACCTGCTTACCCTTAACATATAAATTATCGACATGAGAGCTTTCTCCTGCATTTTGCTTCCGTTGGTTGTGAGCCAACAATGCTCCAGTGATCTCATCAACTTTGATAGTTTCTTTCTCATATGTAAGAGTAGTCACCAGGTGTTCATAGGAAGAAGACAATTGACACAACAAAATATTGCTCG